TAAAAGGTTAATATGCGTCATAACAGAGTTCATATGGTTGATACTGATTACATATTAAGATAAGTTATATTAATAGTAACACGTCATCCATGTCAAAAGTGAGTGGTATCTCAAAGGGCTTACCTCGTTTTCTTGACGCCACGTGTTTGTTTATCAATCTAAAAGTAGCGACGGCGTCACGTGGTTGCTATATTTAAAAATAGCTACTTGTACATGTTGTATTGTATTTCTCTCCAAGCAGGAATATAAATAATTATAATTTGATAACTTTATAGCATGTTTAATTTTAATGTTGTAATTTACAGTTCATTTGTTACTTTAATTGGTAAACAAAATAAACAAATTTCTAGCCGTATTATAAAATGGCGCATGTTATAGCGTTTATTATTTTAAATAGCTGGTTGGATCATGATCATCAAAAGTTTTGATTTGCTTACAATGATTTTGAAAACATATGTTTTGTAATGTATGCTATATTGAATATTACATGTATGTAGCAATTAGTTGGTTTGATGTTTTTTGATAAAAATGTACTGGACTTCAAATAAACTTGGTGCTAAGTATCAACGATTGAAAATAGCTTTTTCGAACTTTATTGTCACCGGGCGCATTGTGTTTTACAAACACATCTGTTTTTAGCTCACCCGAGCCTTTGGTTCAAGTGAGCTTTTCTGATCACATTTTGTCCGTCGTCCGTCCGTCTGTCTAACAAGCTGTCTGTCTGTCTGTCTGTCTTTCCGTCTGTTAACTTTTCACATTTTCGACTTCTTTTCAAGAACCAATGGGCCAATTTTAACCAAACTTGGTACAAAGCATTCTTGGGTAAAGGGGAGTTTATGTTGTTAAAATGAAGGGCCAAGTCCCTTTACAAGGGGAGATAATTAAGAAAAGGCAAAAATAGGGTGGGGTCACTAAAAAATCTTCTTTACAAGAACCACTGGACCAGGAAAGCTGAAACTTATTTGGAAGCTTCCTTGGGTAGTGTAAATATTAAATTGTTAGAATCATGACCCCTGGGGGTAGGCCACAATAAGGAATCCCAAGTTTTACATAGAAATATATAAAACAAATCTTTAAAAATCTTCTTCTCAAGAACCACTGGGCCAGGAAAGCTGAAACTTATTTGGAAGCATTCTTGGGTTGTGCAGATATTAAATTGTTAAAATCATGACCCCCGGGCGTAGGGCGGGACCACAATAAGGAATCCAAGTTTTACCTAGAAATATATAGAACAAATCTTTAAAAATCTTCTTCTCAAGAACCACTGGGCCAGGATAGCTGAAACTTATGTGGAAGCATCCTTGGGTAGTGTAGATATTAAATTGTTAAAATCATGACCCCCGGGGGCAGGGCGGGGCCACAATAGGAAATCCAAGTTTTACATAGAAATATATAGAACAAATACTTAAAAATCTTCTTCTCAAGAACCACTGGGCCTCAAAAGCTGAAACTTATATGGAAGCATCCTTGGGTAGTGTAGATATTAAATTGTTAAAATCATGACCCCTGGGAGTAGGGCGGGGCCTCAATAAGGAATCCAAGTTTTACCTAGAAATATATAGAACAAATATTTAAAAATCTTCCTCTCAAGAACCACTGGGCCAGGAAAGCTGAAACTTATGTTGAAGTATCCTTGGGTAGTGTAGTTATTAAATTTATAAAATCATGACCCCCGGGGGTAGGGTGAGGCCTCAATAGGGAATCCAAGTTTTACCTAGAAATATATAGAACAAATCTTTAAAAGTCTTCATCTCAAGAACCACTGGGCCAGGAAAGGTGAACCTTATGTGGTATCATCCTTGGGTTTATATGTAAGTATAGCAAGAGGGGGGATCTTGTAAAGAACGGTATCATCAAAGTTATTAAGGTGAGCGATGTTCCATGGGCCTCTTGTTTTTTTATATAAATGAATTTTATATCAAAAGTTTGGAACAATCCTTATTTGTAGACACCTGCAGGAAATTAGAAAAATGGACATGAAAAGGAAACAACCTGTAGTTTGAATCTTTGTAGACCTTTTTCATACAAAGAGTTTGCCAATAATGCATATGCATATATTTTGTAATTTTTTTTTCAAATCTTTGCTTAATAAGGAAAGATGATTTTCGCAACTGTTTTATATAAATCCTGTTGTTTTCTTTTTCAGGTTAACTGCTTGTGAAGATACAGTGGAATCTAGTGAAGTGTGAAGGCAATTTTGAATTCAGCATTTGAAATTTTGTGTTCAATAAATAGGCCTGATTAAAACTGGTGCGTTTATACATTCATTAAAAAATGAAGTATTGAAAGTTCTTTTTATTTACATTAATAAATCACCCTGTCTGTCTGTCTGTCATTCCAAGAAAAAATTTTTTTAATTGATGCAATATATGGGCTGTCCCTGTATCTGTCCTAAGCATGTCTGGAGTTATGAGAGAGTTTGATATTTTTAACTTTTACGCGTACATGTACAGTAGTTGTCTATATATTTTGACATACATGTGCGTCTTTTGTACAAGTCTTTATTTTAGATTTTTATGACATATAACATATACATGTACACCACAGTGTCTCTGTTTCAACTATTTTGAAGTTTTTTGACTTCAGTCTAATTGTAGTTAGTAAACAAACTTGAGTAAAATAAATGCTCTTGAAATTTAATATCCTAAATAATGTGTAACAATCAGTTTTCACACATTAACTGAGTAAATTTTTTATTAAAGTTTTGACTTACATGTAGATGCCATTCTATAAGCTATAAGAACATGTAAAAATCATGTCATCACTAAAATTGATGACTTTATATGCAAGAAATGTAGGTCATTCCCCTGCAAGACATACCTATACACTTACACTGTTTAGAATCTCAACTGCTCTTTTTTCACTTTTATCAGTGGTAAACTCCTTTAATGGAAGAAGAACTAAATTTGTGTATATACATCAGAACAAGCTTAAGGGTACTATTAATGAGCATTCACTCTCAGATTTCTTTTTATACCTACGCAAACAAAGTTTGGGGAAGTATGTAGGAATCACCTTGTCTGTATATTTTATGGAGGAACATTAGAGTTTATTACTTTACACACAGATTGTTGATGTACTAAGGGTAGCCATAACCTTGACCAAAGGTTATTTGGCAAGTTCAAGGTCACCATAATTTATGCCCTGTCCATATATTTTATATTAATAAACTTGGTGAGTTCCTATTTTACACAAAAATTGCTTATGACCTGGGATGTGTCTTGACTTTGACCCAAGGTCATTTGGGCAAGTTCAAGGTAAGGTCACTGGTAAAAGAAGTTTAAATTCAATCCTGGTTTTATGTCCTGTCCATATGTTTCTCATTGATTAACTTGGTAAGTTCCTATTTTACACAAAGATTGCTTATGACCTTAGATGTGTCTTGACCTTGACCCAAGGTCATTTGGGCAAGTTCAAGGTCACTGGAAAAAAGAAGTTTAAAATCATTCTTGGTCCATATCTTTCTTGTGGATAAATTTGGTGATTCCTGTTTTAAAGATTGCTTATGATCTGAAGATATGTCATGACCTTGGCCTAAGGTAAATAAGGCAAGGCCACTGAAAGAAAAGGTGCATAATTTGTGTCCTCTGTATATTCCTAGTATTGATTTTTTTCGGTGTTCCTACTTTACATAAAGACTTCTAAGTTCTTTTGCCATGGGGGTGTTTCATGACCTTGAATTAAGGTTATTTGGGTAAGTTCAAGGTCACTGAAAAAAAGTGCATTATATGTGGTTGGTGCATACTTATTGTATTAGTTTTTTTAAATTAGTCTTTCATAAGATATAAAAAGTCATTACATTTTTACGCAGAATGTTTCAGCAAATTGTGAACACCTTTCACATCCATTAAACATTTCTGATTTGGTACCTTTTCTGAAAACTCAGTGAGAGTATTTATCCCTTTAGGCCAGTTCTAGTAATTTTTTTTATCAAACTTGATAAGGACTTGTGGAGCATTTCTTAGAAGCTTGTAACAGGTTCAGAGATTGTTAATGACTGTAAGGTCTGTCATTACCTTTAACATTTAGATAAAAGGACACTGACAATGTTTTTAGTATCCTTGTCGGGGATATAACTATGTGATATTGAATTGTTATGGATGGAATTTAACATGACCTTGTCTTAATGACTTTACAGCAAGTTAAAGGTTACTGCAAAAGTGCATGAAAGTATTGTTTGGGTTATAACTTTGTATATGAGAATGACTAGCTCATACTTTGTACAAAACCAACCATATTTTTGACTGTTAATCATTATGGCATATTCAAGTTCACTTGCAGAAAATGTATAGAATCTTGCCCCGACCAGAAATTTGTAATGGAGAATTATTAGAAGCTCATATTCTGTAGAAAGCTCATAGTCTGTAGAAAGATTTGATGGCGAAAATTTTAATGGGTATTTTAAAGTAGAAATGCAATGGGGATATTTTTAAGGGACAAAATAACTTAAAAAGTTAACATTGTAAGATATTATTTTGCCCAGTATTTAAAAAACTGTTTACTTTACTTATGCACATTGGTAAACTAAAAAGAAAAGAAAAAGAAAAATACCCAGATAAATACTAGTATTATTGAGATATGATAGATAATAATTTTCTCTATTATCATCACATTTTAGTTTAGGTTAAAGTTATTTCCTTTTTATTATTGTTTATTATTGCTACATAGAAAGGGTATATATGATAATTTTTTTCTGATATTGACCTTTGACTGCACTATTTTTAATTCTACATTTACTTTATCCAGTAAACTTGTACAACAATACCAATATTTTAATTTTCCCGTTTTCTAAATGATATTAGTCTCCCTATTACACATTGGACTTACTTTCCTCATTTAATTCTGTAAAGTCTGAATTTCAGGCAGAATGTTTGAAATTTCAAGGTTGTCAGTATGTTTTCTAATACAAAGAAAAGGTGTTTTGACATTTTTTTCTGGTAAAATTTTGATTATTGAAATGAAATAATAATTTTTATTTGTATTTTCATATTTTTCAGAACATGCCACGTAAAGCCAAGAAATCATCTGAAAGAAAGGCATCAGAGCAGCGACTCAGGATGCAGCAGAGACGAAATCAGGCCACTGGACAGAGCGTCATCTCTTTAAAATGTCCTGAAGAGAGCGTCACCTCTTTAAAATGTCCTGAAGAGAGCGTCACCTCTTTAAAATGTCCTGAAGAGAGCGTCACCTCTTTAAAATGTCCTGAAGAGAGCGTCACCTCTTTAAAATGTCCTAAAGAGAGCAACACCTCTTTAAACTGTCCTGAAGAGAGCAACACCTCTTTAAACTGTCCTGAAGAGAGCAACACCTCTATAAAATGTCCTGAGAGCGTCACCTCATTAAACTGTCCAAATCAAATAGAGAAAACAAATGAAAATGAAACAAATATGTTGAAAAGAAACAGAAAGGAAAAAGAAAACATTAACAAAACTGCAAGATCTCCATCATCTAAGATGCGCAAGGTTGATAGAAAAGAAAACTATTTCAACTTAGGAACAGAAATTAAACTGCCAGTAGTTCAAGGTAGCTTTCACCAAGGAGATTCCAGGTTTGGAAGAAATAGTGGAAAGCAATGCGTTGCTAATAGTTTGTCAGCAGTTGCTCACAGCAAATTGAAAGATGTAGATAAGTGGGATCAGGCATATCTGGACAATGTCTTAATTGAAGGAAATGAGATCTATACTTGGATTCATGGAACAAATGACTTGTTGTTGATGTCAGATCTACCGGAAATGATTGAGATATCAGGGAAAATGATGCACATTAGAAAAAAAGACTCGATCTCAGCAACAATTGATAGTAATGGGACCATTGATTTTAGTGCATTTGGTAACTGTCTACCACTAGATTTGGCAATACAAGAATCACTCATGAACTCGGATGGTTGTTTCATATGTGCCATTAATCAAACTTTTATGGTGATCAAGTACAAACATGATCTCTATTTGTTTGATTCTCACTCAAGAAATTCATTTGGTTTAGTTGATGGGAATGGAAAAAGTTTACTAATGCAATTAGAGAACTTGGATCATTTATATGATTATTGCTGTAATTTAGTGCAGGGAGTAGATCAGACTAATCAATGGTTTGAAGTCACTGGTATTAGAATAACAACCGAGGAAATTTCATCAACTGAGAATGTTTTGCACAGTTTCAATGCAATGGAGGATGACTTGATGCAAAATAATGTTAATTATTCATCTGGACAAGAGTCAGAAAATGTACTTATGCCAGGAAGAGAGTCTTATGTTCCTAGGAGTGATATCTCAAAACATGAATCATTAGTCACTAAAGATGTCTCAAAAAGTGAAGATACGATCCAAAACCATTTGAGTATTCCGGCTTGTGAATTAAAAATTCAAGATGACACGAGTAGTTCACTACTGCAGTGTTCTTCAGACATAGAAATTGTATCAGAAAATGAAGAATGCATGAGTTACAATTTCATACCTCTTACAATTGCAACCAAAAGAGAATTATGCAATGTGCTGCACATTTCTTCTAAACAAGTATGTAAGAAACAGTCTGACGTTGTTTACAATATGGGACCTCCAAAAGATACGAAGTCGATTGAAGAAGATGGTAATTGTCTGTTCAGAGCAATCTCATATGCAGTATCAAATAGACAGCAGTATTACCACAAGGTTAGAGGGGCTGTTGTTAACCACATCAAGAAGACAGATGCTTTGAAATCATTTTTACGACCTGAGTATCAGTCTGTTGAGGAGTACATCCGAATGTCCAAAATGGAGAATGATAAAACATGGGGAACAGAGCTTGAAATTTTAGCTGCTGCAGATCTCCTAAAGACAGATATATTTACCTTTCTAAATGGATCTTGGATCAAATACTCATCTTCTCAGATATGTTCAAACAATAAAGTTAAAGGTGAATCGATTTACCTAAAACATACAGGTAATTCCAATCATTATGAATGTGTGACATTTGTAAATGAAAAAGACCATTTGCAAGCAAAAAGGAACATGCAAAGTAAGAACTCGAAAACAAGGGGAAGAAAACGTAATGCCAAAAGTGGAAAGCAAATAAATGCTCCTCTAACAAAGGTATTAAAAACAGACAGTTTGGACTGTAACCAAAAACCCTGCATGCAATCATCAAAGGATGTAAAAGAGAAGGAAAGGTACAAAACATGCAAGGAATTCAGGGAAAAAAAGAAAGAAAATTCAAAACAAAAATATGAAACAGATCCTCAACATAGAGAAAAAGTTCTAAAACGCATGAAGAATTATTATGAAAATGACGGCGAATACAGGGAAACGAAAAAGAATGCAAACAAAGTAAAGTATGAAGTCGACTATGAATTCAGAGAAAGAGTTAAGTCTGCAAGCAAAGAGAAGTATGAAAAAGACGACGATTTCAGAGAAAAAATGAAGAATGCAAGTAAAGAGAAGTATGAAAAAGACGACGATTTCAGAGAAAAAATGAAGAATGCAAGTATAGAGAAGTATGAAAAAGACGACGATTTCAGAGAAAAGGTGAAGAAAGCAAGTATAGAGAAGTATGAAAAAGACGATGATTTCAGAGAATCTGTCAAAAAGTTCAGTATGAATAAGTATGAAAATGATATCAATTTTAGAGAGACAATCAAGGAAACAAACAAACGTAAATATGACCAAATCGAAGAACACAGAAATAAGATAAAAAGTCAAGTGAAATTTAGACGGGACGTACTGAAAAAAGAATGTGAAAATATTGAAAATGTCATTGAGAAATTCAAATCAGACGTGAAAAATGGACCAGAATATGTTTGTTCATGTTGCTTCAGATTGTTATTTGAAAATCAGATAATCTTTTGTGATAAGGAGAAATACGACAGCATGTTACTTGAAACATGTATTTCGGAGAAATATCTGCACAAATGTGACAAAGACTGTTCTTCAGGCTGCTCATTTGCAGGAACAAGTAGGACAAACCTCTGGATTTGTTATACATGCCACAGAAAGTTATTAAAAGGAGATGTGCCCTGTATGTCATTTGCAAACAATACTGAGTTAGAAAAAGTACCTGAAGTGCTTGAATGTCTTAATTCGTTAGAACAACATCTGATTGCACTGAATATACCTTTCATGAAAATTCTTGGTTTGCCAAAAGGAGGACAGAAAGGTGTACATGGCCCTGTTGTTTGTGTGCCTTCTGATCTGAGAAAAGTAACCTCTATTTTGCCAAGATCAGAGGATGAAAATTTGTTGCTGAAAGTTAAATTAAAGAGAAAGTTGAAATACAAGGGATATGAAGAATATCAGTTTGTAAATTCCAAACATTTGGAGGAAGCACTACTGTTCTTAAAAGAAAACAATGTGTGGTACTCTGATGTCAATATAAATGAAAATTGGCTAAATCCAATTCCTGAAGAAAATGAATTGGAGAATGTTGATTGTAATGATGAAACATCAAATTCAGAAATGTTGACAAACAGATCTGACAATGCTTTAGAGAACAATGAAGATTGCACTGTAAAATGTACAGAAAATGAAGCAGAATCATTTCTAGATGAAAACTTGCGAGGCATTCAGTTAGACACTTGTTTACAACCAGCTGACATTGGACAAGAAGTATTGGATTTATGCTTTGACCAAGTGTTTGAAATTTCACCTGCAGAGGGGAACAATCCAGTTTCGGTTCTAAAAGCAGACGGAATTGAAGCAAAAACATTCCCAGTTCATTTTCCGAGTGGAAAAAACACTTATGCAGAAGAACGAAATGAAAAGTTAACTCTTGGAAGATACTTTAATCTTCGACTGATGAGTGTTGAGAACAGATTTGCTAGAGATACATCCTATTTATTCTTTAGTCAGTATTTATCGGAATTAGAAAGAGTTATTTCAAATGTTCAAATATCATTGAGAAAAGAATCTGCGTTTTCTGCTGATGGGACTAAAATTACCGGAGAAATGCTGTGTGACAAGAATGTTTTAAAGAACCTCTTTAAAAAGGATGAAGCAATCAAATTTTTAAAACCAGTCCGCGGAACACCACCATATTGGCAAGCTGCACAAAAAGATATCTTTGCAATGATACGTCAATTGGGTATACCTCATTTTTTTTGCTCATTTTCGTCTGCAGATTTTAGATGGACAGAAGTTGTAGAAACTATTCTTAAACAGCAGGGAGATACACGGAAGTTTGAAAACCTCTCATGGAATGATAAATGCAAAATTCTCCGTAGTAATCCAGTTACTGCAGCTAGAATGTTTGACCACAGATTTCACACATTTCTCAAAAATGTAATCATGTCAGACGCTGAACCGATTGGAAAAGTCATTGATTATTTCTACAGAATTGAATTTCAACAAAGGGGCTCTCCACATACACACTGTTTATTTTGGATAGAAGGTGCTCCGAAATTTGGACAAGACCCTGATACTGAAGTTGTGGAGTTTATTGATAGATATGTAACATGTGAAGTTCCAGATGAACAAGAGGATACAGAGGTACACGACATTGTAATGGCTGTACAGCAACACAGTAAAAACCATTCCAAGTCATGCAAAAAGAAAGGAACAGTTTGTAGATTTAATTTTCCGAGACCACCTTCCCAGAGAACATTCATTTCTAAACCTCATGAACCTAGTTCAACCGACAGAAATGAAGATCAAGTGGCAAAGGAAAGACTATCACTTCTTTGGGACACTTTAAAAGACAATGAAAATATTACAATGTCAAACTTACTTCAGAAATCCGGACTGACACAAGAAGAGTTTGAACTATGCTTTAGCTACATTACAAAGAGAAATACCGTTGTTTTGAAAAGAGAACCCAATGAAGTTTTTACAAATCAATACAACAAACATCTTTTGAAGGCCTGGAATGCAAATATGGACATCCAGTACATTTTAGATGCATTTTCCTGTGTTGTTTACATCATAAGTTATATAAGTAAAGCTGAACGAGAATTGGGATTACTACTGCAACATACAAAGAATGAGGCTATTGAAGGAAATCTACACGCCCAGGAGGCAATGAAAAAAGTTGGTACTGCTTACATGCACCACAGAGAGATAAGTGCTCAGGAGGCTGTTTATAGAGTGACTGGATTAAGGTTGAGAGAATGTTCAAGGAAGGTGGAATTTGTACCAGTTGGAGAAAATCCTTGTAGAATGAGCATTCCTTTGAAAGATGTCAGAAGACAGACAGACTCTAAGATAAAAAAGCAGAAAGATTCTACTGAAATACCACATAGTGCAAATGACGAATCTGATATATGGCTGAAAAATATTGTTGACAGATATGAAGGAAGACCAAACATTGACATGTTTCAGAAAATGTGCCTGGCATCATTTTGTTCTGAATTCGCTGTTTTAGCCGAATCACAATTGCCAAAGAAATTAAATGAAGAAACAACATTCAAACTTTCAAACAATTTAGGTTACATTAGAAAAAGGACAAAAACAAAACCAGCAATTATCAGATTTCCGAGATTTTCTGTAGAGGCTGCAAGTGAAAAGTACTATCAAAGTATCTTGCAACTGTTTCTGCCATACAGAGATAAATGTCAACTTAAGCCCGCAATGTTCGAAACGTACGAGACTTTCTATGAAACAGGGTATATCAAGTATTCTGGAGAGAAAACGTTACTGTCAGTGAAACACATTGTGGATAGCAATATGTCGGAATTCGTTAAAGATGGGGAAAACTTAGAAGAAGCAGAAAAAGTCTTTGAAGCACAGGGTTCTCAAGAGGATGCATGGTGTGAACTGTGTCCAGAAACAGAACAGATTAGAATAGAATGCATGGAGGATAGACAAACTGTCATGGTAGAAGATGAAGACATTTTAGAGAAATCAGTGCCTGATTTAAGTACAGACAATCAAGAAGCTACAGGAACAAATCAACTGTGTTCGTCTTTGCCAGAGAAAAGTGAAGTTACGCCTCTTCTTCAATCACTAAATTCAAAGCAACGAGAAGTGTTTTACAAAGTAAGAGACTGGTGTCTTAAGAAAAAGAATGGCCAAAATCCAGATCCTTTTCATTTGTTTGTAACGGGTGGAGCTGGCACAGGCAAAAGTCATCTAATAAGATGTATTTTCTATGAAGCCTCACGATTATTAGCACCTCTTTCAGAGAATCCCGATGATCTAACTGTTCTGTTGACTGCCCCAACTGGTACAGCAGCATTTAACATCCATGGAATGACAATACACAGTGCACTTGGTATATTCAAATCTCTATCACTTGACCATGCATTGCTAAGTGAAGACAAAATAAACAGTTTGCGATCAAAGTTGGAAAACCTTCAGATTCTCATCATTGATGAAATTTCAATGGTCAACAAAAGGCTCTTGTTTTTTGTTCATGAAAGACTACGTCAGGTTAAAAAGATGCCAGAAAATTGCGCGTTTGGAGGTGTTTCAGTAATTGCAGTTGGTGATTTTTATCAGCTACCTCCTGTGAGAACAAAACGCGCAGATAAATTGTACGTGAATGACCCCGCAAATCCAATGAATCAGTTATGGATTGAGTTATTTTCAATCGTTGAATTAGACGAAATAATGCGTCAAAAAGAAGATGGCTCTTTTGCATTACTTTTAAACAGATTGCGTGTGAAAAAAGGCAATGAGACATTGTCTGAATCAGATAGAGAGACATTACAACAATGCATAAGAGAGGGTCCTATGGAAGCTTTGCACATCTTTTCAACAAATGAGGAGATCAATGCATATAACAATGAAATGATATTAAAGACATGTCCTGAACCAAAATTGATAGAGGCAGAGGACTTTGACAAAAAGAAAGCTTCTGGAAAACTCTTGAAGAGAGACATTCACTTTACCAAATCTGACATCTGCCTTAGATCTTCTCTTCTATTGGCGGAGGGAGCAAGAGTGATGTTAATAAGAAATGAGGATGTTCATGATGGGCTTGTAAATGGAGTAATGGGTACAATTGCGCATATTGGAAAACAGTCAGGTTCATCACTGCCAGATGTTATTTACATTCATTTTGATAATGAAAATGTGGGCAAGAATGCAAAATTGCAAAAAGTGATAAATAAAAAAAGATGTGTGGGACTGCATCCTTCGACAGAAGATATTCCAATGAAAAATGGTGTTAGAAAACAATATCCTTTGCAATTGGCTTGGGCCTGTACTGTCCACAAAGTTCAGGGTTTAACAGTTAAAGAATGTGTCGTTGATTTGAACAAATGTTTTGCGCCTGGCCAAGCTTATGTTGCCCTAAGTAGAGTCACATCAATAAATGGACTTTACATTAATGACATGGATGTAAGAAAGTTTGACAAGAAGATACGCTGTGATCCTGATATTGAAGGTGGCATTTCATTAATGGCCAAGTATTTACCAACCAAGGAAAAGCAAAAGACTGATTGTATCAAAATATTATATCACAATATTCAAGGATTATTGCAACATGAAGAAGACCTTAAACACAGCGAAGACCTCAAAAATGCAGATTTTGTTTGTTTGACAGAAACGTGGTTTGATTCTAAATCAAACTTCACAGATATCGGAGGGTTTCAATCAAGTCATGTAACAAGATGCTCAGCTTTTGATAACAGTTGCCCTTTATTTAAGGAGTTTTCTGAAATGCAACACGGGGGCGTAAGTGTGTACTACAGATTAGGAATTGGATACGATGAAATAAAACAAATTTCTAAAAATCTGGAGTGTGTAGTGTTTAGAATAACCAGTTCAAACACTTTAGTGGCTGTCGTATATAGACCACAGAAATACCTGATAGAAAAATTCATTGAAACTTTCAGTTCCTTCTTAAATGTCTTGGAAACTATGTCAGATAGACTTGTTATTATTGGTGATTTCAATCAAGACATTGTGAAAGGTCAGACAACTGTTTTCAATTTGATGACATCAAGAGGATTCAAACAATATGTTCAAGACCCAACGACTGAAAATGGGACAGTCATAGATCATGTCTATGCAAGAGGCTGTCCCTATGTAGACGTGTCAGTGATGCCAACATACTACAGCTATCATGAAGCAATTGTAGTTCACCTCAGCTTTCAATCATGAATTCTTACTACATCTTAAATCAGTTTCTAGATTTCTTAACTATTTATTCAAAGGATGCAGACAGATATGAGTTACAGAAAACAAACGAACGGATATCGGACATTGGCAGTGTATAAAACTTCAATGCCAAAGAAATTGTATAGATAAAATGTACATATCAGACAAGTAATGAGCTTTTTTATATCGTTCGATTTTCAAAGGGCAAGCATTCTATAAGGAGTGAGAGTGTGGAGTATATGAGAATATTTTAAAAAGTTTTGATAGACAAATTGAAAGACTGCAAATATAAATATAAATGTTGAAAGACAAAAGAGATGTAAAAAGAGCTGAATTTGACCTGTTTTTAAATCGCCTTTGACATTCACCTGAATTTAAAGCCCAAAGCTAGGTTAAAGACTCAATTTTTATTTGTCCCATGTCTGTATTATTCAATGTTTTAAAAAAAGTGCCTAAGGTCCCTTAAGACATAAGTGAAGATTTCATGTCTCTGCGGTTTACTGTTTTGGAGCAGTAGCAATAACAAGGTTTTTTCCACAAAGGTCAATAACTTATATTAGGGTCAATCTTGCGGGACAAGAATGAAATAGTTTTAAGAGTACATACTCAAGATGCAAATATAGATTGTATATGTTAAAAAATGAAAAAAGATGAAAAAAGCTTAATTTCTCATTTTTGAAAGACCTTGACCTTTGACCTTTACATTAATTTTAAGATCAAAGGTCAATAAATATTATGCAGCTGGTCTTATGTCTCTACGACTTCTCGTTTTGAGAATTTTTAATTTTTTGTAAAATTCAAAAAGTTTCAGGGGCTATAACTCATTGAAGGGTACACCGAATACTTTTGCAATAAAAGATTGCAGAGTCCCCTCAAGGAGTCAGAGACATTAGTTAAGGTTTCATGTCTGTGCGCTTTACGCTTTTGGAGTAATAGTGATAACAAAGTTTTTTGCACAAAGGGTGATAACTTTTGATGGGGTCAATCTTCAGGGACAAGTATGAAATATTTGAAATAGTTTTAAGATGTCATTATAAAGATGCAGAGACATCATGTATAGGTTGAAAGACCAAAAAAATGTTAAAAATGCTTAATTTCTAATTTTTGGAATGACCTTGATCTTTGACCTTTGCATAAATTTTAAGATCAAAGGTCAATGAATCTTATGCAGTTAGTCCCATGTCTCTATCACTTCTCGTTTTGAAAATTTTTAATTATTTCTAAAATTGAAAAAGTTTCAGGGGCAATCACTCATTGAAGGGGTCACCAAATACTTTCGCAATGAATAGATTCCAGAGTCCTCTCAATTAGTCGAAGACTTTAGTGCAGGTTTCATATCTTTATGGTTTACAGTTTCGAAGTAGTAGCGATAACAAGGTTTTACGCACAAAGGGTGATAACTTTTAATAGGGTCAATCTTGTGGAATAGGAATTAAATCTAGAAAATAGTTTTAAGAGTACATATTATTAATGCTAAGACAGTTTGTATATGTTAATAAAACAAAAAAAGATATAAAAAGAGCTTAATTTCTCAATTTTGGAATGACCTTTGACCTTTGTACTAATTTCATGATCAAAGGTCAATGAATCTTATGCAGTTGGTCCCATGTCTCTATCACTTCTCGTTTTGAAAATTTTTAATTATTTCTAAAATTGAAAAAGTTTCAGGGGCAATCACTCATTGAAGGGGTCACCGAATACTTTCGCAATGAATAGATTCCAGAGTCCTCTCAATTAGTCGAAGACTTTAGTGAAGGTTTCATATTTCTACGGTTTACGGTTATGAAGTAGTAGCGATAACAAGGTTTTACACACAAAGGGTGATAACTTTTAATAGGGTCAATCTTATGGAATAGGAATTAAATCTTGAAAATAGTTTTAAGAGTACATATTATTGATGCTAAGACAGTTTGTATATGTTAAAAGACAAAAAAGATATAAAAAGAACTTAATTTCTTAATTTTGGAATGACCTTGACCTTTGACCTTTGTACTAATTTCATGATCAAAGTTCAATGAATCTTATGCAGTTGGTCCCATATCTCTATCACTTCCCGTTTTGAAAATTTTTAATTATTTGTAAAATTGAAAAAGTTTCAGGGGCAATAACTCATTGAAGGAGTCACCGAATACTTTCGCAATGAATAGATTCCATAGTCCTCTCAATGAGTCAAAGACTTTAGTGAAGGTTTCATATTTCTACAGTTTACGGTTTAGAAGTAGTAGCGATAACAAGGTTTTAACTTTTAATAGGGTCAATCTTATGGAATAGGAATTAAATCTTGAAAATAGTTTTAAAAGTACATATTATTGATGCTAAGACAGTCTGTATATGTTAAAAGACAAAAAAGATATAAAAAGAGCTTAATTTCTTAATTTTGGAATGACCTTGACCTTTGACCTTTGTACTAATTTCATGATCAAAGGTCAATGAATCTTATGCAGTTGGTCCCATGTCTCTATCACTTCTCGTTTTGAAAATTTTTAATGATTTCTAAAATTGAAAAAGTTTCAGGGGCAATAACTCATTGAAGGGGTCACCGAATACTTTCGCAATGAATAGATTCCAGAGTCCTCTCAATTAGTTGAAGACTTTAGTGAAGGTTTCATATTTCTATGGTTTACAGTTTCGAAGAAGTAGCGATAACAAGGTTTTACGCACAAAGGGTGATAACTTTCAATAGGGTCAATCTTATGGAATAGGAATTAAATCTTGAAAATAGTTTCAAGAGTACATATTATTGATGCTAAGACAGTTTGTATATGTTAAAAGACAAAAAAGATATAAAAAGAACTTAATTTCTTAATTTTGGAATGACCTTGACCTTTGACCTTTGTACTAATTTCATGATCAAAGGTCAATGAATCTTATGCAGTTGGTCCCATGTCTCTATCACTTCTCGTTTTGAAAATTTTTAATTATTTCTAAAATTGAAAAAGTTTCAGGGGCAATAACTCATTGAAGGGGTCACCGAATACTTTTGCAATGAATAGATTCCAGAGTCCTCTCAATTAGTCGAAGACTTTAGTGAAGGTTTCATATTTCTACGGTTTACGGTTTCGAAGGAGTAGCGATAACAAGGTTTTAGGCACAAAGGGTGATAACTTTTAATAGGGTCAATCTTATGGAATAGGAATTAAATCTTGAAAATAGTTTTAAAAGTACATATTATTGATGCTAAGACAGTCTGTATATGTTAAAAGACAAAAAAGATATAAAAAGAGCTTAATTTCTTAATTTTGGAATGACCTTGACCTTTGACCTTTGTACTAATTTCATGATCAAAGGTCAATGAATCTTATGCAGTTGGTCCCATGTCTCTATCACTTCTCGTTTTGAAAATTTTTAATGATTTCTAAAATTGAAAAAGTTTCAGGGGCAATAACTCATTCAAGGGGTCACCCAATACTTTCGCAATGAATAGATTCCAGAGTCCTCTCAATTAGTCGAAGACTTTAGTGAAGGTTTCATATTTCTATGGTTTACAGTTTCGAAGAAGTAGCAATAACAAGGTTTTACGCACAAAGGGTGATAACTTTCAATAGGGTCAATCTTATGGAATAGGAATTAAATCTTGAAAATAGTTTCAAGAGTACATATTATTGATGCTAAGACAGTTTGTATATGTTAAAAGACAAAAAAGATATAAAAAGAACTTAATTTCTTAATTTTGGAATGACCTTGACCTTTGACCTTTGTACTAATTTCATGATCAAAGGTCAATGAATCTTATGCAGTTGGTCCCATGTCTCTATCACTTCTCGTTTTGAAAATTTTTAATTATTTCTAAAATTGAAAAAGTTTCAGGGGCAATAACTCATTGAAGGGGTCACCGAATACTTTCACAATGAATAGATTCCAGAGTCCTCTCAATTAGTCGAAGACTTTAGTGAAGGTTTCATATTTCTACGGTTTACGGTTTAGAAGTAGTAGCGATAACAAGGTTTTACGCACAAAGGGTGATAACTTTTAATAGGGTCAATCTTATGGAATAGGAATTAAATCTTGAAAATAGTTTTAAAAGTACATATTATTGATGCTAAGACAGTCTGTATATGTTAAAAGACAAAAAAGATATAAAAAGAGCTTAATTTCTTAATTTTGGAATGACCTTGACCTTTGACCTTTGTACTAATTTCATGATCAAAGGTCAATGAATCTTATGCAGTTGGTCCCATGTCTCTATCTCTTCTCGTTTTGAAAATTTTTAATTATTTCTAAAAATGAAAATGTTTCAGGGGCAATCACTCATTGAAGGGGTCACCGAATACTTTCGCAATGAATAGATTCCAGAGTCCTCTCAATTAGTTGAAGACTTTAGTGAAGGTTTCATATTTCTACGGTTTACGGTTTTGAAGGAGTAGCGATAACAAGCATTTCTTGCGAAAGGGGCAATAACTTCGAAAGCGGACATAGTACATACGCGTTGGGTCAAATTTGTTCATAACTTTTAATGACCTTTACGATGAACGAAAAGTCTTTTCGATAAATGTCGAAACAAAAAATCAGCGGAAGAAGAATAATAATAATAATAATAATAAACAGAAGAAAATCAATAGGTCTTTCCACAGAAAGGTGGAAAGACCTAATAAACATAAGCATTTCAAGAGGTCTTTCCACAGAAAGGTGGAAAGACCTAATAAACATAAGCATTTCAAGAGGTCTTTCCACAGAAAGGTGGAAAGCCCTAATAATAATAAGAAACAGAAGAAAATCAATAGGTCTTTCCACAGAAAGGTGGAAAGACCTAATAATGAAATCTTAGGGCAAATAATACATGTAGAAGACCTGCCGAAAGAAAGGTCCAAGGAAATCGGCTTTAAAGAACTATATAGTTCAATAAAATAATTTCCTGAGTAGAAATCTAAAAAAAATTGTTAACATAATGGCGCTCTGCATTAATTTAATACATGTTAACCGTGTCAACAGAATATGAATCTGCTACAACTGCACATGTACATGTACGTCTACGTTAAGCTCTCACTTATGTTCATGTAAACATT